TGAAAGTAATGACCACAAAACGGCATAGTTCTTGCCCGTTCTTATGAAGCACTTTTGAAGTCAAGAGATGAGTAACAAATTTTCTCATCGAGAATTTCATTTCATCGAGTATTTTTGAACCCCGCTATTTATTTAGATATTTACACGACCCGTCATCACAATTTTCATTTTGCGAATCCCAATACTTCGAGCGCTCAATTTCTACTTTTTGTCTTCTTCTTGAATGATGTAGAATACTGATCGAGCATGTCACCTTGCAATCTCAAGGATAGCCTGGCTGTGGCGTTCCATAGGGCGCTCTTGTTGACGGTCGGATAGTCTTAAGGGAGGGGGGGGGGGGAGAAAGTGGGCCTATCTTCACGCTCGTCGCGGCAAGCATGACTATCACTTGGCCATGTCGCCCCCAACCACCTCGCTATCAACATTACATAATCTGTGAGACTTTGTTTGCGCTTAGCGATGACTGTCTACAAGCACTAAATGCTGTAAGCAAATGGCGAGATTATGGCTTCTGTTCTGTGATATTTTAAGTCAATTCTCGTCACCAACTTTGTTCTCAGTATCTCTCTTTGATTTGCTAGCTGACTTTCTTCGCCGTCTCTTATTTCTTTTCTCTATCTAATTATTCTCTCTGTCAAGCCAGCCGTTCGTTTTAGAAAAGGCCTGGGCTTTCCAAAACATCAAAGGAGGCGCAGCCAAGCTCAATACTGGGTTCTACATACAACTTGTTGGTTTAGGAACGTATAAGTTCGCAAGGAATCAGGTGATTTCTTCTTCATATAGCATCCATTGGGCAATAAATCTCAAAAAATAGGTTTTACTTCGAGAATCGCAATACAATGACAGGAACGTCGAGTTCACCCGCTAAATCAAACTGAACTTTCTACGGGGAGAAGTATCGTGATAAAAAGATCACTCCTTAGAATTTCTGGGAGGCTTAAAGAGTTATCTTGATTAGTCGACTTGAGGTTGGTATCAGTTGTAGTAACAAAAATCGGCTTTGCAAATGATTTAGAGGGAAATCGATATACCCCCTATTTCAGATAAAGCCGGCTGTGGATGCGGCTCTCGGCTCTGGTCACCGCATGTTTGATACCGCGAAATACAACCAAAAAACATGAACTGAAAGCAGCATTATTTGTCGGTGGATCTAGATCGTGAAATCTTGAGTGCAAAATTTGATAAGGAAGAGCTGTTTCATAGGCTTCAATAATGACCGCTAATTGTAGCAGTAGTCAAGTCGAACGTACACTTTTACCCGCTTTATCTCTCTCTCTCTCTCTTCTCTCTCGTGTGCTTCTATAACCCCCTTTTGAAAAAGGCAATGATAAGGGAAAATTTCCAGCAATTTTTGACTTTTCAGGTAGGTAATCTGATAACATATTTTGAGCTTTTCATGAAGTCTTTTATAGGATTCTCTCTGATCAGGAGTGACAAATAAAAAAATCGACCTCATCCGCCGGAGAGGAACTTTTCATAGGAGTGTTAGTACCCATTCGAAGGTTGGGACATTAGACCTCAGCCACACGTCGCCGGTTTTTCAAAGCATCCTGTACAACGCTGTGATCTCCACACAAAACTAGCGCATATTTGTCGCCGGACAAAGCTTTTTCTTAGGACTATTAGTAATCATTCGATAGCATAATCGAATTTGATTCCAACGCTGAGCTGTACATCCTGAGAAGTCCGTTTCTCTGCAACGCACAAGGCAAAACAAGTTGAGTCAAATGTATGAGAATGGAAGAACTAAAAAAGCTCACGTCGGGGTGGATTTGGCGGTCTCGTGATTGCGGGACGCAGTATCTCAACGCTTTCCTAGAACCGTCCACTGGCCGCCGCAACCCGGCGGCCACGTGAATCTCATAGGACCATGTTTCTCGCAAGCGGGAATTTGACTTATTACCAGTTGCGTTCCATCTTATTTTACCTGCTTCGTTTCAGAGAAACGACCTTTTCAAGATATACGCACAGCTTTATAATCTGTAACGATTACGCTATCGAATTAACACTGATATACCAAAGACAGAGCTATGTCCCGCGAGAAATATGCGTTTCAGACGCCAAGAAATCTCCTTCCGTAGCAACGTCAAAAATATCTTTTTCGAAGACCAGCGCCGTGGGGGTGTAGCCCCAAGTCTCAGCTTTCGAATGATAACTATCGCTCTTATGAAAAGTTCCTCTCTAGCGAATGAGATAAGTTTTTCAATTTTCTCCTCATATTCAGACAGAACCTTCTATAGCAGTGCAGAGACAAGTTTTCGGCATTGCAGCCTCGCACTCACGCGGATTGTGCAAGACAAGTTTCGGCATGCAGCCTCGTCACTACGCGGCATTTTGAGTTCAATTAGTTCCTAGCTCGAAGGTATCCCCTATATAGAGTAATACCGACTATTCGGCTACCCGAAACATTCTCAACATGCAGCAGAGGTGATGAAATCCCCGCGGGCAGTGTTCTACACTCGATTGTTCGTGACTGGAAAACATGTTTTGTTATACCTTTCATTTCGAGTGTTTTTGAGACCTCGCTCAATTGATTTAATCTGAAAACAAGTCATGCCTTTTGCTCCTTCTTCAAAAAAAATTTTGTCATTCTTCAAATGGTGACATCAGTTTGATGAATGAAACTATTTTTTTAATTGTTAATTATTGTAAGAAAGGCCCCATATAATTCTGGTATCACAGCGTTCATTTCGCGTTCCTAAAAACGTTCCATCTTGAGTATAAAGCGCATATCGAATTTTCCATCTACCTTTTTTTTTTTTAAATTCTGTCCTTCGTCGATCCTGTTGTTGGGTGCATGCTGATAAACACCGACGCGATCGAATCATGGCAGAGAAAAAGGCAGAAAATAGGGGCCTCAGTTGGCTGTAGTGGATAGCAAATGATCCCTTGAAAAGAGTAGTCACTAGTTCGAGGGCCCAGCTGAGCTACCACGTCTGTGCCTCACAATTCTTATGGTTGTGTTTCACATCGTACTCTGCCATGAAAAAAGGCATTGATTTGAACTAGTCAGTTTTGCGATGTTTTGTTCCTTGGAGGTTATCGGTGTGGTAATCAGTGATACAGGAGCTTTTGCCGAAGTACGATTTGTCACGTTCTGATATTTTTCTTACCAAGAAATTCTTCCCAGAAACCAATGATTTTTCACATGGCGCTAGGGAACCATATTAGAGAATCCTTGAAGTTGCTCAAAACGGAGCGTGTTGTGAAATTTTTCCTTCTCTTCTGTAGAGTTTTATCTTACCTGCATTCTTCCATTAGGCTATATTGACATGGTCTTTATTCATTATCCGAGGGCCTTGAATCTAAAGGAGAAAGACGAGAGAAATCCGCTTCATTGGAAGCTGACATATCTAGAGCTCGAAAACTCAAAGGTATATGGGTGGAAACTAAATTTGTGACTAAGAGTTCATCTTTGAGAGATCCCTCTCTGCAAATTATACACGTACGAAATCACCGCGAGCAATCATGGAGTGAAATAGGAAGAGTTGTAATGTAGTTACTATAAGATTATTTGGCATAAATAGAGTTGTTTGTCACAATTAGTGTTACTTTAATAGTATATGTTTGAAAATTTTATCAATTAGATAAAAAGCATCTGTATTGATGCATTTTGCAAAATCGCATTGAATATGTAGGTACGGTTTTCCCGGACTTTTCCTTTTTCTCCATTACTTCTCGGCGGTATCGCCCGCTTCAATAGAGCCACACATCCCATTTCTTAACAGCGCCATATTGTGAGGGTAACTGGACTTTTTGCTATGCAGTTCCTACATCTTCAAACTTTGAAAGTACTTTTATGTAAGCGTACTACTTTCCGGAAATAAAATATATCATCTAGGGAGTCGTTGAGATGTGATTATGATTATTCTCTTGGGAAGACAAGTTTGCACCACCATTTCAGATTCAGTTGTGTAACAATCCCGTGGTCAGTGATACACCCTGATGACGATCTTTTTATTGGCCATTACACAGCTAAAAGAGGAACAAGCAACAATCTAGTGAATATGAAAAAACGAGGCGACAAGAGATTTCCTTCAGAAAAAAGGAGGAAAGATATCGCCCGCTGACGAGACTGTCAAGTTCGAACCACTCGTTTCGTGTTCTTTAAGATACCCGCTAACAGACCATGTGCGTGGCTCAAAAAATCACTACCAGGCATATTAAAAAGGTTTAAATTAGACGATTCCCGGGACAAAAACATATTATGACCAAGAAATACAAAGAAAAGAAAGTACTTCAATGTCTTTAAATGAAAATTTTGTGAATCTTCCTGAGATATCTAGAGCGTTCGAAATTGTATGAAATGATGTTTTGGTATACCCAATAATGTAGAGTGGTGTGCAAAAACATTATGGCGGCTCCACTTGAGGCCTTTGGTAAAAACGTATTTTTTGCTTTTGCAAAACGTCTCTGTAGTTCATCGATAACTCAGATCAAGAGAATCTCAATGTCATGTCGAATTTCTTTAACAGCTTATTTTTGGCGCCGTACGAGTCAAAATAAGATTTTGTTTCTCATTCAGAGATTTCACAATGGATAGAAGTTTTGTTGTAATGTACTCTCCGTCAGATAAAGAAAATCTTTCCCATTACAACGATATACTTGGCTTTTGGAAAGGACTTCTCCCATTTGTAAGGACCGAAAGAATATTGGGTTTCACACTCAGTGAGCACTTCTACCGGGCTAGGCCGTCTTTACAGATGTGGTACCAATGGGCAAACACATTTTCTTAATCAGAAAGATTTGCTCTATTTAATGGTTGAAATTTTGTTGTGAAAAAAACTTTTATCAGGCAAGGAATTTTTAACTGTGAAACAAAATCGCGCTTTGACTGATACGGCCTTAAAACCAAGCAATATGAGAAATAAAATATACCTTTAAAATTACTTGATTTAAACTATCAAATTATCTTACATTGGTCATATAATAGCAAAGAATAGGCTTTTACAGAAGGCCTCAACTGGAGCCGCCGTGATAGATCGGTACCAAAAAACGTTCGCGTCAGTCGGGAGTCGAACCCAGATCTCACTCTTACCGGGAGCATATGCTAAGTCACTGCACCACTGACGTATACAATCTTGGAAAGAGTGAGCTGGGTTCGAATCTCTGCTGGCGCAAATGTTTTTGCACATAACTCTACATTATTGGGTATACTAAAACATCATGACACCGCAAATGGAGTTCAAACAAAAATTAATGCTGATTGTATGGAATGATTCGTAAGATCTCGTTCAGATGACGGAAAGATTCGGTCTGCAGGAGTGTCGAATTACGAGTCGAAACATCTTGAAGAAATCAAAAGCTATGGAAAGCTAAAGTTATTCTACGGCGAACTTTGGCCTGTTGGAGCAAATATCAGTGTTCCAGATGATGCCATGTGCGAACCAAGTGGAGTATCATCCTCACTTCACTCGAGATGAGTTGAAGAAGTACTGCAATAAGGAAGGAATTTTTATCAGGTATTCCTGACTTAAGCAAAGACATCGTTTCATTATTTCTGAGTCAACAATAAATACAGTGATCGTACGTTCTCGCTAGGACTGAGTCTGAGTGATTATAGAAATTATACATAACAAAGGAAATTCCTCTTACGATTATGTAATTATGTAGTTGACTGTATTAATGATTAGCATTTTAAGACTACGTAAAAATATCTTCCTTTGGTGAGTATGAAAATATCCCAATTCCATTTATAGTTTTAGACCAACAGGTCCTGTTCTCAATCTTTGCTTCAAATCACTAGCTTTCATTGTCAGTGTCAGTTTACACAGCGATTTTCGTCTACTGACTCACTTATCGAGAGAATCTGTTGGCTACCGAATTTGTCTAACTAGTTCATCGCTTTACCCAATGCTCGTGCCTCTAGTAGAAGCGAGAAACATCAAAAAAAATTGCTCTTAGACTTCGATTTGCAATATAATTATCAAGAAAACATATATATATATATATATATATATATATATATATATATATATATAACGATCGGGCATTCTCAGTAGCGCATCACAAACCGGCGCTGGTGCAGGATCCCGTGGTCAGACCCCGTAGATATGGCCAAGAAACACAACACTACTGTTTCGGTGAGTACAGTCTTTCATATCAAATCTGTCGAATTCACAGTATCTTTAAAGTGTTAGTGCCTCTTTGATTTAATATCATAATGTTATACCGAATGCAAATATTCCTTCCTTTCGTGGGCTCGATTCATTGTCAAGAAGAACTGCTAACACTAAAGGAGATATGGGCAAACCATTTGTGAAGTGACGGATGTCTGAGAGCTAGGATTTAGTTGTCTAAAGATAGAAAAGTTGTAAAGAATGCTCTGAATTATAATAAAACATTCTCGAAACAACCGTTATTGGGTGTTAATGGAGAGCTAACAGAGATTTTGCTAGATCAACTCGAGTCGCTCGATGAACAATGAAAGCCCTTTAAGAGCGTTGAGATTGGAGCACAGCTTAGAACATGGTCCATGTGTATAATTTCAAACCACGACTATAACATCCTGGAATAACGCGCGTTCTCACATTACCATCGAGTTCTTATCTCTACTTTTCTCTCAGCAGAGTTCTCAGCTTAGAAAATCACAGATCGATCAATAGGAGTGGGATTTTTTTATTGTGTTTGGTGATTCCGTTATTTTGCGGTTCAAGCCTAGAAATTGATTATGCTAATCTTAGGACTTTAGATGATACGAGTTTCGCGGGCTCTCAGCCAAGGTGTAGGGATCATTCCGAAATCGGCTACGCCGGAGCGCATTGTTGAGAACGTCAAGGTGCTGTTTTATACATAGAAAATTTAGCTTGTCTTCCACGTGTTTGGAATGATTTCCTGGATTATTGAAATTGTTTAATGCATTCAGTAGTTTGTATAAACACCGACTGTTCCATTCACTTTGAACTATTTATTTGTTTTCAAAATTTTTTATTCGTCTTCCAACCCAAAATTTATTGCTCAGGTGACAGAGCTGAAAGTGAGCGAGGAGGAGATGGAGTCGTTACATAAAAAGTCAAGATCAGAATTATATCCGATGTTATGGATGGCGTGTACTGTGATTTTCACTGTTGTGTTGTTGTGTCGAAATGATCTATTTGCTATGTTACACTACATTTAATATGATAGTATTTCATAGTCTAATAAGATTACTTTTCCTCAGTTTGATATGCTCCTGTCCTTTGATAAAAGCCTGTAGTTTTCCTTATTTACACCATGAAATCCTTAGGAATATCAAAAAATTCTTAACAGGCGTTATCTCAGTTTTAGTAAGATGGCAAAATTCACAGGCTTAACGAGCACTCAGATTTCGGGAAGTCATTACTATAGGTTCAGTGGAATAAGCAGCTATTAAGTGGCACCTCTTATTAGCTTGGAAAATTATTACATCACGGAAGACTCTTCTTGACTGAAAATCATTTGAAAGAACAACGAGCGATTAATGAGATAATGCACATCTATCATTGTGTGCTACCAGAAGACACGTGATCATTTCGTGTAACTCATGCACTTCCGTTCTTAATGTCACTGTAAATCTTTTAGTAATGTTATGACGATCAAATATCTTTGAATATTTTGTAGAGATCATATTCTCACATTAACGGGTTCACCGACTAGTTTAGAAAAATGGAAGCAATGGAGCCGTACAACTCGTGGATTGTGTTGACAACATCACGCTTGGTTGTTTGATTCTTCTTGCGAAAGCATCTGTCAGTTTATTGACTGTTTTGTGATATCTGTCCTTTGTGCACATTCGATGTCTATTCTTTCTACATTATATGAGGCCTTGCGAATAGGTGAATAGGGTATTAGTATACTTTTTAACGAGTCTTCATTAGTTGTGCTTTCTTCAGCATATTTCGCTTTTCTATCCCCATCATTCATGGTCGTGTCTCTTCTCAAATATCGCGATTTAACAAAATAACTGGTTGACGCTTTCTTGTGGGTGAATTCTTCCAGGAAAACTCTTGGGAATTAGCTATTCGCTTCGGCGTCATTTTACTATTCTGATATAATTGTCGTCAAAAATTCTCCAAATTTCTAATTGTAGAAAGGCGTCACAAGTCAGTAGTCAATCAGTTCAGTACAGAGTTTTGCAATCGTTAATTATTTTTGAATATTAATATTACTTTACACGACCCTCAGCACAATTTATCGTGCAAACGCCAACACTTTCATTCAGTTCGCTTCTTCGCATTGGTCCCCACAAAGATCCGCAAATATTTGGCATGCTACTTTGGCTCTTGCATCAGTATTTTGCCTTCTTCACTTTGATGTCAAAGAGCGCTGATGAAGTCAAATCCTCCCTACAATCTCGAAGATAGTCGAGTTAAGGCGACTTGTGAGATTGTAAGAGAGGGGTAGAGAACGAGTTGGACCAACAACTTACTTCTTAATCCTACTTCCCTAACCACTCTGCTGCCATCCTCAGATTTGAGATATTTCATATTGAATATACATAGACGTTTTGTTAAGACTATGCCTATAAGTACTGACTATAAGTAGGAAAGCTACGGATTGAGTTATAAAGTTAAGGACTTCTGTCAGCAACTGGAAACGAATATTTTAAGAGTATTAGGAATTAACGTCTTGAACTGGTAAATAACGTTAGCTTATCGCTCCCATTGTTCACCATTTTGTGTTTCAGCACAGTACTAAGTAAAGAATGACAAACGTGTATTTTGACTAACATGATCGAAATTACTTCTAACGAAATCATGAATGATGACACTCTTCTACAGCAGGAATATTCGGTATACTATACCACTGAGCTGACACGGAGTTGACATGAAGTTTTTATTTGACAAGCGTTTAAACGTTTTCATCTTCAGAGCCATGTTGATCGGAGTCAGTCGTTCACAAGTAGTCGTCCTTGAATAGAATGACATTCGTGCATCAACCTAGTGTCAGATTTACAGTAATTGAAGAAAGTTCCTAATATATTGCAGAGAAGTTTGATAGGATCGCTCAACGGTCATAGTATCTGCGTTTGAGTGAATTTCTCTTCGAAACTGGTTGCTTCATATGGCTTAACACAATGGGTGTAACTGGTAGGAAGCCGTACACGACCGCGGTATATTACGGTCTACTTGAGTCAATGAGTTTGTCTGATATGCGCATTGTTATTGTTCCTTAGTTCTTATCTCTATCATCCCATTGCACAGAAGGTGAGCTAAGGTTTGATTCAATCACTTTCAAAGCGCCTTTAGCTGCGGTTTCTCCAAGTAGCTACCTGTGTTATGGAATCTGAATGTCCAACGCCATACAACTCATTGAATGTCCCAGTGAAGGTTAGCTGCTTTTGCTGCTTTTTATTCTACTTTGATGCATTATGAGAAAGTGAAGAATGTGCAGAGGGTAAAGCCTGGGAGCATCTTGGCACTAGTTAAGTTTCTGTTATCACGTCTGCCACTGTTGTCAGTAGAGTCTCCTTTGCTTCCACTATTTCGGAGTCAAATTTCTGAGCATGTGACCAGTTCAAGCCTTTATTATGATGTATTTTTCAAAAAATCTTCATGAAAGCAGAAACAGACATTCTGAGCGAGCTTATTGGTGGCAAAAGTCAAGGTTTTGCTAGAAACATTTCTTTTAGAGAGACGGTGTTGTATGCTGTATACATGGGACGTCGTGTGAAGTTGCGAAGAAGCAAAGAGAAGCAAATGGTGAATTTTACACTATAAATTTCGTCGTCTGGACCGATTTCCAATATTATCTACTAACTCAGACAATGAAGACCTATCCGAGCAATATGTGAATCTCGTCGACAGTAAAAGAGACAAGAACGCCTCTCGCAATGAAGTCGAAAAATCGCTCGCTGAAAAGCTAAGGTCTTTACCACAATCAATACTTCAATTATATCACCTATGACCATTTTTTATTGCATCACAATCATATTATAGTAGTGAAAAGTCTCACTTGAGATATGGTGCCGCTAGCTGTCGGCTTAACTTGAAAGATCGGCTTTCACTGTACCTCTGCATGAAAAAAGATATCCATATTACAGAGCGGCCTTTTTGAAATTTGGCTAAGGTTGGTATATCTTCAAAATTGTTGGTTGACGTTCTGTCGAATTTACT